GGAAAGAGCTACGATGTCAGAGGTGAGAGGCAAGCTGCAGTTACCACATCTTTGCCTGTCAGTTTATTACCTCCCACAATTTGTTATTGCCCCAATATTGTCCTGCCAGGTTTTGGGGTGGATTCTGCCATGTTCGGAAAGTCTTGCTTCACTCCCCATCTCTTCCATCCATCTAGTCAGTAGCTGAATTTTCAGTAGATTTTAAGTTCTTCTACAAAATATTCCAGAAAAAAATCGAAGGGACGGGATAGCTGAATCTCATCTATTAAAATATCTGGTGGGAGACCAACCCACTTCTGAACGCTCTTTTCAACTCTTTCTACAATAGGCACTTGTTTTAATATCTTCTTGGGAATCTTTCTGCCAACCAGTAAATAAAGTCTCAAAGTACCTGCTGGATGATTACCTGGCCAATCCAGAGATTCTGATTGAGAGAAATAGTGGCAGGGAAAGGGAAAGCTGCATACTTTCTGGGCTCTTCCACTCTACACACTTCAAGAAGAATATGACAACTTGACACCTCCAAGCTTCCCATCACCCACCCCCATGGGATGCCTGTCAGGACATTGCTCCAGACAATCTGTTCTGGTTATACCTTAACCCACACTTGCAATTTCATGTTGGACGTTGTGCAGACCCAGACTTGGAAAAGGTCTGGAGCCCACCATAAGTTTGCAGTAAGATGTGTCCTCTCCATGGGACAGTAATATCAGATAGGACCAAGCCTCACCAAACAGCCAGTGGATACTTTACACTGATGGAAAAGAAGAGTGTCAGGAGTTCATTTTCATTGAATAGTAGGTATTATTTTGGCTTTTGGCAAGAGAAGAAAAAAAATGAAATGTAACCACAATAATTATTTAGGAAAATAGGTTTGCCTGAAATCTTTGCCTTTAGATTTTTGCTGAAACTCCGGGGCACACTGTGGATCACTTTTAAACTAGTTTTTAAAGCATTTTCCACAAAAAAAAACCTGTTACCACTTGAAAATCAATTCTAGTCAGATCCTCTTGGGTTTATGCAAATGACAACAAACAGCTGAAACTGACATTTCACAAAGACTCAGCTGTGGCTGGCAATGCAGTCACCAAGCTAAAGGTGAGGACTGGATGCAGGCTTACCCAAGCAGGAGGGCGAGAACTTGAGTGCTTAGTTAGGTTGCCATTTTTGAAATAATGAAAAGAAAGATCTCTCAAATAAAGGTCTGCTGTGTATGTGCAGCAAATCAAAGGCAAGCTACAAAACTCCCAGAAAAAAACAGCCAAACTCATCAGAAAGCAATCTGGTGTTCAGAGCACTTAACCATGCAAGACTTGCACTCCCGCAGTAACATTGTTTTGACAGCTTCACTTGGGTATTTTTACCGAAGCAGTCAAGACTGTGGTGCAAGCATTCTTCTCCATGTCTGCTTGGACACAGGAGCCTGTAGTATCCCATTTCCAGACAGAAGAAAAAAAAAGCGGAGAAAACCAGAAAAAAAGCTCTTCTTCAGAATCGAGTTTTGGTTTTCCTCCTTGATATTGCTGTTGCAGCTTTGATCACAGCTTCTGCTGCTGTAGTGAACTGAGAGACCAAAATAGTAGACTGACAAATTTACCTCCTAAAGAGAAGGCAAATGGAAAAACAGCCAGAGAAAAATGAACTCCACTCAAAGAGGGGTATGTCTGCCTGGAAACAGAGCAACACATTAAAAACAGAACAGCTGCAGTGGGGACACCTAAGTCTTAATGGAACAGGAAAGAATTAAAAAGGATCCCAGAATGTCTTTAAATCAGGGTGCAGAAGATATTTTGGAGAGCTATGGAACTAATTTTTCCAATAGCCCCTCCAAGAAATTAATGTCTCCAGGAAATCAGCATAGCCAAAATACATAAAACATTTTGTGTTGCTTGTCAGCAAGTACACTGACAAGTACCACGTCCATTTCCTCCTGGACATGAGGGAGATGGGCGACATGATGTCAGGCCTTACTACAGACACAAAAAATGTACAGCATGGGGAAAGTAAGACAGTCGACTGCATAAAGAACGAAAGACAAAACTGAAAGGTTAAATGTAAAGCAAAGAGGGCACAGCACTATGCATTTGGGAACTAGCTCCATAGTAGGCAATATCTTCAAGGGGGTACAGAAAGTCCTCCCCTTCCTCTTGTTAGATGGAGGACATAGGCATGTCAGGCTAGATTCAGAAAATATAACACTGTATCTGCGGTTTCAGCTTGTAAGAGGCTGTTCAGGAAACAAAGAGAAGAGTGATTCTAGAAAGATTTCACAAGTTAATGAAGCTGGTCTCATTCCACCTCTATGACTGAACCTTATTTCTTTTCTGAATTAAGAAAGTACTTGGAAATAAGCTACAAGGGAAAAAAAAAAAGATAAAAAGACGTATCAAATTACACTGAGGTTGAATTGCTTCATACACTACCTGTTGGCACTTGGATAATGCACACAAGAGACTACGTGAAACAGAATCACAATGGAAGCAATGCAAGCCCATGCTGCTCCCAGTATGCAAGAAATAAAACTTAATTAATACAGTGTTCAGTTTCATGTAACTTACCCAGTGGGCTGCTCACTAACCGCCCTTTGCAAGAAGCTGCTCAGAGTCACCGCTGAGCTGCCAGAAACCGGGCAGCAGAGTGGTAGCAACTCTAAATGGCTGTGATTTGGATTATCCTACTGCTGGCATAAACTTGAAAGCTAACTGGGATAGAACTTTCGAAAGGTACTGAAGACTCATTTTGTGGAGTTCATTATTTACCCCAGCGATGGCAACAGCACAGCAAAATTTCATACAAACATGTCTCAGTTTTGGTGTACAAAAAACCACCCTCAGGGAAGCACTGCCTTCATAGTCCTTCCATGCTTGATCCTAACAGCTTCACAAGCAAAGATGGCAATTACTGAAACACTCCTATGAACATGAATCTCCTATGATTTTGTTTGAGAACATTTGTTTATTCATCCCATGAAAGCTGATAAGTAGAGATAAGTGATGGATCTCCCCAGTGCTAGATGCAGCCGCACCATTGAGGAGACAGAGGTGGAAGACTGCAGCTTTGCAGAGACTTCTTGTTATGCCACAGAGTGACCATGGGAGATGACAGTCGCTTTCTCTTTGTCTCATTAAACCAGCTCGTACCCTGTTCATCTCAGTGGCTAGGTTAGAAAAATTATAGTAGTCTGAGAAAATATTTCTTTATAGTCAAATTCAAACCAAAAATTTGCCATTGGAAACTATAAGCTATAAAGCAAAGCTCCAGAAAGACCAGATTTGGGGACCTTCCAAAACTGAAATATTTAATTTTGAAATAAAAGCTTTTTAATTTTTCACTGTTTCCCCCCTGCCCCATTATTTTTTAGAAAAACAACACAGATAATTTGAAATTATTCTAGATCTTTGAATGCTTTCCAAACAACCATTTTCAGCACACCTGATGTCAATGAGAACAAAATACCGAGTTGTCTATCTGAGTAGCAGTCAGGTGATAGCAGTGTTTGTAAACGAACCGTCCTTCTGGCTATCAAGATCTAAACCTGTTTCAGAAAAGTAAAAGGTGCTATATCCTCTTACCTATCTCCTGAACCACTGCAATCTTGAATAAAGATATTATACAGTAAAGCCAGTATCACTGGCTCTTTTTCCTGGCCAGAGTAAGAGCTACTAATTTCCTTAGATATTTTGCAGGTGTGGCACTAAATACAGCAAGATAGTGATCTTTGCAGCTTCAAGATGGGAGGAAGCTGCTTATTAGGTACCTGGGGTTTCTGAGGAGTGGAGTGTTATCCGTCCAAGGCACGTCAGTGTAAAGCCACACGTTGAAATCCACTGTGTTTATGTTTAGAAATTGTTCTTTTATTTTAAACCAAGTGATTGCAGAGCATCTAATTGAAATAATTGAGTAAGATACTTCAATGTCATTCCACTCAAGCCAGTTTCTGAGACCTTTATCTTCAGATCTTATTCAAACAGTCTGACACTGATGTCAGTATGAAATTGCTTGAGCAAAGACCTCAGAAGAGTTAAGTAAGTATTACACTTCACCACTTGACTGACAGGAAGATGACTTATGGTTATGGTATTTAGCTTCAAATTTTCAAGAGAAGGGTTTCAAAAAGAAGTCAGAAAGTTTTCCTAATAGCACAACTGGGAATGCACCTTGCTGAAAGCACTCTCAGCTTTACTCCAGCAGTATGAAAGCAGTTTTCTGTCACCTGTTCCCCTTAACCCAATGTAGAAGGCGGACAAGTGTGAGCAGAGCGCCTGGCACCTGAAACACACAGAGCATCTCAGTCTCAGGAAAGCTAGCCTGTGCCAAGGCAGAGTCATCCATGGAGCCTGATACTATCTCTGAATGTCTCTATGCATGCACATTAGGTCAGTTTTAATTCTTCTGTTTCAGCAGCACCTAAAATGCAACACTTGACTGCAATTTTAAATGCTTCCATTCTAGTAGAAAACTGATTTTTTACAGGCATAGATCTTTTTTAACCTCTTAATTCATAGAATATCTTGAAACTTCTGAAGCTACTAAGATTTTTCTGCAATGCTTCTTGAAACCTGAGAACCCAGAATAGAAATTCACACCAAAGCCAATAGAAACGTATAGCCTTCAGCTTTTCAATGAACAAGGGTGTTTTTAACCTTAGGCCTCCAACATCCATGGCTTATGTGGCAGGTGAGAGATGATACGGCCAACAAGCTAGAAAATTTTTATTTAAGTCATGAGAAACATTGAGTCTGTTCAGAGCAGAACATTAAAATAAGCTACCTACACTG